AATAAATTAGAATGAATAGAAAAATCAAATGAAAATACCTGGATGCTGCATATGGACTAGCACTATCTGTCACAACCGCCGAGACCTTTACTTTCATATTTTCTAGCTTATCGATCATGGCTTTTATTTTTTTCCATTACTTCAAGGTGAGATTCTCTTTCTATACTAATGTCTGTCGCTTTCCATACATATGATTTTCCTTCTGAAGTAATAATCATTACTCCTAATAATTGCTTATTTTTTACATTTGTCCATCCATCAAATGTTAGAGTAATACTGATTGGATCTTCACGAAGTGCTTCATGCATTGCTTTGTCTCCTTCAGAAACAGCTATCTCCAAAATTTGTCCACTAAGAGCCTGACAGTCTGGAAGTTTAAGATAAGGATTTAAAAAGTCAAATAGTTCTTTTGCCTCAGGCTTGTTAACCCAATGGAAGGCCCATCCACAAGATACTGTTAATCTTAATAAAAGAACTTTGAATTTTTCTTTGTCTTTTTGTGATAATGGTCAAACAATATAGTTGTCAAGAAGTCCATAGGAAGATCATATAATAACTTTGTGGGCCGAAGATTTTGAGGATGTGGATACGGTGTCATACGACGAATTAGATGGAACTAAAAAAAATCAGATATAGTTATAGTTATTATTATATAAACATGTAAAACAAAATAAATTTTAATGCTTACTTGGTCATTTTTCCTTTGTAAGAGAAACGTCAAGACTGAAAATTTCTTTTCGTTGTTCTGGTGTTGTTTTTTGTATGAAATGTATGCATTTTTTGAGGTGCAGAATTATTCTATCCATTTTGTTAGGAAAAAAATTTTTTTTTCCTTCTTCCTGGTCTAATATTTCGATACATGTCTTGCAATAAATCTTAAGATTACTCTTATTGAGTTTTTTCTTGGTTTTAATAATATATTGATCTAATAATATGGGTAATGGTGGCATTGTTGAATAAAGACAATTGGTCAGGACATTACAGACACGGACGTTGGACAATGTCCCCCAATATGTCTGTGTCCGTTGAATATCACATGGACATTGTCCGATGACAATCACATGTTCCGGACACATGGCGGATGCGGACATTGGACAATATCCCAACATGTCCGTGTCTGCCATATATGACGCGGACATCGAAAATGTAGAACACTGCCAATGTTTACAACAAAGAATTAGCAATAATATAGAAGAAAGTAGAAAAAGAGAAAATGAATTCTATCTGGCCAATCAAAACACAAACCCCTGGCATGATGATAACATCACACAGATTGTGCAACTGAACACAATTGCATGGCAGCTTGGTATGGTAATCAGCTTACTTTATGGCAGCTTAGAGATCATGAAGCCACAAAAATTTGATCTTACAAGGAAATTTGTAGATCTGAATTACTTGTATAAAAATTAGCTTCTTAAAATTTTCTTTTTAGATAATTTTTAATGTTAAGTGAAATATTAAAGATTTCTTTTTCTCTTTTACTCTAGAATTCTTTTGCTGAAAAGATTTTTTATATATATATCCCCTTTAAAATTTGTAGCTAGCAAGCAAGACAAGCAAGACAAGCAAGACAAGAACAATTGCAAGCAAGCAATAAAAAAATAATAATAATAATAATAACAAAAATAATAATAATTACTTTAATTTTTATTACACTCATTTATTACCCATAAAATAATCCAACATGTCGCAACTTTACATACCTCTAATTGATGAACAAATTCCAGAAAAGATTCTACAACTAGCTGGTAACCTGTTCACCAAAATTTTATACCTCTACCCTGGCTTAAAAGTTGAGATAGATGAGAATGGATACAACTTCTCAACCATAGTAGACATGGATATTCTTTTACAATGTCTAGCAGAAGTTAGAGCCATATCAGAACCTAGTACAACCCCTAAAGACAATCTAATGTCCCTGGAAAAATCAATAATTGATGAATTGAAGGAAGCTAGAGATGAAAAAAGATCAGAAACTCCACCAATTCATCCATCAGAAGAAGTGTCGTTATCAGCTTACTATGATGACTTGGCTAATAACAAGTATAGTACTGCTTCAGTAATGTTTGAGATTGGGAGGATTATTTCCTTAATGACCCTTGGCAAATCTCAAAGAACTCAAAATTCAGAGGTGCAAAGACTATTTAAAAAGAATGTTTCCACAATCAACTTCAAACCCAGAGGATTAATGGCAATAAGACTCTATCAGTACTTCAAGGATAACAAACAATTGCTACAATATGATAGAGTAGACAAGATATTTAAACCTGGCAATGTTGAAAAGATAGATCAAAAAACAAGTGATAACTTAAAAAGAAAAATATATAACGAATTTATTAGATAATTTTTAATTTTATTTGTAATTTAATCTTAATTTTTATTTTATAATTTTATTTTATATTTTATAATTTTTATTTTGTATTCCTTCGACAGAGCTCAGGAATTATGTGGAGGAATATGTTATAGTTTATTTTGTTTGTTATATTTTATTGAACAATTTCTTTTAATATTTTTATTGAACACTTCATATAATATATATTATTTATTTTTATTTTTATTGGTTAGTTATTTTTGGGCTTATTTTTTACATGTACTGTGCATCAATATGACAGATATATTGAATCTTCCATCACAAAATTTTAAACCAGGTTGGTAATCGATTATCAACTGAGAATCGATTATCATCGATTAGAAAAAATCGATGGTAATCAATTTTTTTTTATCAATCGATTGCCAACCAAAATCGATTACTATCGATTTTTGGTTGGCAATCGATTGATAAAAAAAATAGATATTAATCGATGCTAATTTTGATTACTAATCATCAATTACATTCGCTAATTG